ACTTTTACGGACTGATTTTGACCTGGATGACTGAGAATCTTCATCAGCAGACCTTATATAATCCTCTTCCTTTCTTATCTTCATTCCACCTCTTTTGCTATTTTTCCATTTCTTTACTCTTAATAAGTGATTTTCCTTTCCCAAAAGGAATTATAAGGGTTATTGTTCCCTCTAAAGCCCTTTTTTTTCTAATATATCTGCTTTTTTATTGCCTTTTACACCTTTATGCGCTGGAACCCAACATAACCAACTATTAATGCCACCCCTATATAATCTAAATAGACTGTGCTGGATTTCTAATGCTGAATCTTTTGTATCATTTCTTTTTCCCTGAATACTTTCTATGGAACCTGTACAGATCACCACCCTGTCTGGTCTACAGACTGTCAGCTTAGTATAATTGCCACCATTTCTGCTGTGAAAACAGATAGTTGATCTGATTTTCTTTTTAGAAAATTTATATTTTAAACTCTTTTATATATTCCTATTCCCACACGTCCTTTTAAATTCTTGGACCCATCTGAATATATTTTTAGGTTGTTATAATATGAGTTTCTTGAATATATATCCTATGTTATTTAAATTCCAATCATTTTTCATTTTAAGCAGTCTCATGTCTACCTTTAACTCAAGGAATAGCCATGGAGGAATACCACAAATCGGATCAAACTGAGCTATTTTTGTATCTTCTAATCCAGATTATTGAATCAATTTGCTTATAATTCATCCACATCCAAATCCAAATTACCACGGAACATTCCTAACAGTTTTGCAGAACTAGATATAATTCTGCAGTCTCAGTGCTGCCCCCTGCAGTCCACATCGTGCTACTGTAGTTGCTGTTTTCTCTCTATAGCACCATCTCCTGGCTGTTCTTGGTAATACGTTTAATCGATTTTAAATATAAAAGTAAAATTAAAAGTTAAATACACTTAACCGGAAGAAGTGAAATAAATCAGATTTAAATAACAGTAACAGAAAAAAAATAAATGCATGTTTACATTAGATTAAAGTAAAATAAAGATACACAGGAAAAATGAATCACATGAGGCACAAAAAGTAAAACTAAACAAAACATGAAATTATTTGAAAAAGTAAATACAATTAAAATGGCTTTTGCATGACAATGAGTTTAGAAAAGTGGTTGTAGAAAATGGATTTTTGGAAAATAAATTTGCACTAACTGAAAAAGCAATGAAAGCCTAAATATTTGTATTTGATTGAAGAAAAATTAAATATTAAGTATTAAAGTAAATAATATGTATTAAAACAGAATTTTTTTTTTTTTTTTTGCAGCCTCAAACCAAAACATAGATTCACCTTTATTATTTTTGTTATATCATTTCATGTTTATTTCAGAAAAAAATATTTGCTTGAATCAATTATAGGTCCCATCCCTTGCAAAAAATATGTTTAACAGCCAAAAAGTTAAGCAGAGACATTAACATAAAGTATGCTGGAGTATCCTAACCTAAAGAAAACAGAATGGCATCGTCTTATTTCAAGTGCATATTATATAATCATCTTATTTTAATAGTAAAAGCATTCATTCCCGTGGCAAACTTTCTCATTTACCTGCTCAAATTAAGGGTAAATGCACTTAATTTAGGACATATTTACTTATTTCTAGATCATTTTCCAGTGTACACTTTACAGGAAACATATAGTTTGAAAAGTCTGATGACTCAAACTTTAGAGAAGTTAAATTTTAAAGACATTCTTCAGTAATCTGGGATTAATGAGGTCAGAACTCATTAACTGAAGCCAAACTTTAAATAAATAGGTTTTATTTAAGTTCTGGTCATAATTGATTTCACAGTGCATCATTAAGTGCAAACCTCCACGATGGCAGTGAAATCAGCATGTGGTATCCGACATGAACGATGAGCAGACAGAAATCAGCAGAACCCAACAGAACCAGGCTCCTGCTGGGAATTTGATATGATCTGCGACCATTTTAAGGAGCAAACCAAAGCAGCCAAAGTCCAAAGAGCGAGAAGACACGGTTCCTCTGAGGCTTCCCACTGTGGGACGTCTTCAGGTCTTTCCTCCTGCTGCAGAGGCGGAGCTGCACAACGCAGACTTCCTCAGCTCGATCTTCATGGCCTGGCCTTCAGCCCTCGACTCTAGCCTCGTCACTGCAGACACACCCAGAACCGTCTTCCCATTGGGTTTCACCACTTTGGACACGGGGATCCGGGTGGCCGCGCCCCGAGCTGGCTGCACATCTGAGCTGATCTAAAAAAAAAAAAAAAAACATGATGACCATGTGACCCAGAACAGGATCTGGAGGAAACCTTGATGACACTTTATCTAGGATCTGTTGAGATGTTTTGTTGAGTTACTGGAATATCTAATAAGCAGGATTCTGGTCTGAGGAAGAGGCCCACCATGACCCCTGAAGTCAATTCAATTCTATTCAGTTTATTTCTATAGCTCCAATTCACATCATGTCATCTCAGGTCACTTTCCAGTTCACCAGATCATCCAGTCAGATTGATTCAAAGTTTTCTATCTAAGGAAAACCAGCTGATTGCATCGACTCATTGACCACTAAGGCAATCCCTCACACTAAGCATGCTTGTAGCGACAGTGGAGAGGAAAACCCAGTTTTAGCAGGAAGAAACATCCAGCAGAACCAGGCTCGGTGTGAGCGGCCATCTGCTGAGGCCCACTGGGGTTCAAGGAGACAGAAGCAGACATAGAAAAAGAAGCATAGATACAAAAGGCAACTGTCAACCAGCTCCACAGGCGGCCCCGTCCAGGAAACACACAGCCAGGCAGACGAGCTCCGAGCCAGCTCCCATGTCAGAGGATGAAGAGAGCACATCCAGTTAGTCACAGTCAGAGAAACAGGACTACACTGGAAAACAGGCCAAGCTCCAACATCTAGAAACAAAGGTGTTGATGGCAGCAGCACAGCTGATATTTCTCTCCAGGATGGAGTCACAGCCAAACAGGAACAGACCAGATGAAGCTACTATGAGAAAAAGCAGAGAGAGCAGAACGTGGACTGCTGTTAAACCAGAGTGTCAGTGTTTGGGTGGTGCCCCCTGCCTCCTCCTACAGCTGTTGCAGCTGCCGCGGTCCGCTTTGTTATATTTTTTTAAATTTCTATCATTGTCATATCTATGGTTCTGTTTAGTTTGGTTTTGGACTTATGGACTTTTTCTTATTAGCCTGTCACTATTTAGCCGCCAGCAATTATCACAACAGCTCAGTCTGCCTCCAGTCCACTCTAGATTATCTTCACCTGTTCCCACTAATTAGTACTTATTAGTACCTATACCTGCCTCTGCCTACTCATCTCTGTAAGAACGTCTCATTCTCTCCTGCAAAGGTCGCCTGTGTCTGTATGCTGCACTGCTCCCTGTTTCCTTCACTACTGTACCCTGTGTGCCCTGCCAGCTGAACTCTTCTAGTTGAGGTTGCCTTTATCTCCATGTTTCATTGCTTCCTGATCCTTGGTGAGTCTCAGCTGCTTACTGGCCAGTTCTGGTGGTTCTCCGGTCCACACAGCCTATTGGTTCTGTCAACATCTACATCTCCTGGTTCTCTGCTCACCCCTGCAAACCAACAATTCAACTGGGATTCCTCTGCCAAGACAGTAACTGTTTGCCTGCTTCATCTGCCATTATTCACCCCTATAATAAACCCTTCAAACATAACTCTGTGTCTGGCCGAATATCGGGTTCACCTACGGGAAATCGTGACAGTCATTACAACTGTCTGACTCGCCTGAATATTGGGTCCATCTGTCCGGTTTTGTGGCATCTTCACATGTTTTCGAGTTTAAAACACAGAGCTTCAGCCATCCGCTATATTTCAGTATCTTTGACGTTCTTCTTTAGTAGTTTAGTTCTGAGGGCTGGACCCAGTTTAAACAGCTTCATCCATGTGTATGTCCATCACGTGACGTCTGTGAGAATGTCAAAAATTGGTTAAAAAGATATTAGAAAGGACGACATGATTTGCGTCCACACGACGTACACGTTTGAAAAGTGAAAAGCCGTAATTTTCAGATAATTGAAAAGACGTTAAAAACTGGGTTTGCGACGTCTTTTCAGCATCTATTATTTTACTAAAGTAGGACAAATACTGACCAAATTTCAACAACTACTGTCTGGACTAAATCAAGACTATAACGGGCCGACCAGGTTTAACCTAAAAACCCACGTCTAAATGACGTCTGGTGTTTAGGGGGGTTAGCAGATGCTGCTCACTGAGGCTGACCCCCAAACACCAGACTTCATTTAGACCAGGGGTGCTCAAGTCCAGTCCCTAAGAGCTAACAACCTGTAACTTTTAGATGCATCTCTTCTCTAACACAACTGAATCGAAAGGCTCAAACCCCTAATTTAGTCCAGCAGAGGCATGGTGAGGTAACCTGACTCCGCCAGCTGGATTTGCTCCGCATATCCATCTGGAAACCTTCCGTAGAAGTAATTTTGGGAAGGGGCGAAAATACTGGTTAGCTGATTGGCCTATGTTGGTGATAGACGGGCCAAATAAACCAATCAGATCAACGAAGCATATGACGTACTAACAGAGCGACGACGAAGAGGAGCCAATTGATAGATCAAACTCTTGCCGAAACCAGTCGGGAGAAGAGCAAAAACATCTTTTCCTCTGAGAAAAGCCTCCAGAGCAGTGTTTTGCTCT